GCCTAGGGGGCCTCTAAACAGGGGTTTGGCGTCCAAAACTAACCGGTCAGCAGTCAAGAACAAGCCCTCAGTCACAGCCCGTATCTATATTTTGGTGTTGAATCGAAATGTTGCCTTAGAAAAGTGCGGCCGTTTCATTCTGACCATGGACACACACTCACCCATCAAACAAGGTGATATTATGAACTTTGGATTCCATATGCCCGGGTTCCTTCAGGATGCAGAAGACAGTGAAGATAAGGCTGAGGAGCTTTCGCCAGCTTTGCGCCCTGGGATCGCCGATGTTTTTTTGGACTATGTTTTTTAGACCATGGCCCGATATTCTAGGGCTCGAGTCGTACCTCCTCAGCATGGGACCCTCTAAACCAACCCCAAACACCTTCTCACAAGATATGAGTACTTGGAGCCCAATGATTGGACTTGGATCCACCTAAAGAACACCGAAGTGCCATGCTTTGGAGGTGTCCGTTCTTACCTGTAATAGTCGGTCAACGAGCAAATCACTCTTTTGGAGAAATGCTTTGACTCCATCTCGCCAATTCCGACATATAGGCCTCTAGTACGCCCTAGCTGACGAGTCGTCTGTGAAAATGTACCGTGATAAGGCTGAAGGCCGAAAAAGTCCACAGTTACTGCCAATAGGAGAAATAATGAGAAATACCCAAGGAATGACGTGCCTGGCCACTGCCCATGCATCCAACCCTTGGGTAAAAGAAGACATCAAGTCAGGAGAATGTGGTGGGAAGTGCGTGGGAAGTGCATGGGCAACCTGCGTATGACCGCGTATGACCACGTTCATGGAGCGCAAATTCATGGTGTTTTTGGTCGTGACGTGCGCGCATCGTGTCGTGACGAACGCCTGGACTCGTGCCTCGTCATGCAGGAAGATGGAGAAACTGAGCCGGAGGGCGAGTGGGATGAGGAGTCCTAACAGGCCCCAGTCCCAACGAAGGTCAGTGGAAAACTAGATCATACTAGATCCATCTGAACTGGTAGGCTACTACTGATACTACTGCCCCTCCAGTCGCGCGCCCGTGAATCTTTTCCTGCTTAGAACTTCAAAGTTATTCATTGCGCTGAACCCAGGCCATGTCAAAAGAGTACACTGCCCTTTTTTGTTTGCTTTTGGTTGAATATGTGTGTAACAGTTTTTAAACAAAAAGTCTACAATTCAATCCCAGATCCAACCGGACTTTCACGCAGAACAGGCCTATGGCCCCCCGGACTCTTCACGAAGTCACTGGACTCGTTGCCGGAGATGTTGAGTTCTATATCACAGACATTCCATGGGACTGCCATATATGCCTACATTAGGGTGGTTTTGGGGGGTCAATGGGGCGGCATATGTGGCCTTCCTGGAGTGTTTGGGTATTTATAACTCTTTGCGCGATGTCACTCCTTTCGGCATGTGGCTCAATCGAAGAGGTGGACGCATAACATACCAACAGAGGTTAAGTGACCTTATAGGACACTACAGGGGTACCTATGGGACAGCCTATAGGGTCTTTCAACCTCTGTTGGTATGTCGGGACATGCTTCGCATTTGGGCACACCTCGGCACCTCTTAGTTCAACCAACGGCTGCAGACGTAACCACCTGTGGAGTGCCATGGTCTACGATGACCCGTCGGGATGATTAGCAGCCAGAACCCAGACACGAGTCATGGAAGACCTGAATATCATGGAAGACCTGAAATCAACCGCCCCAAGCTTGCCAAAAAGGCGTTCTTTTCCGGGTGAACTGGCCGTAGCTCATGTGGTGCAGTTGTTTTTTCCTTGGGCGAATTGGTCTCCTCCTTTCGCCTCCTCACCTCGCCCAAGCTCAAAAGAAGCACATCGACCAGTAGATGCGTGACAAGACAGACCTGTTGACATCATCCAGACACTCCATGTATATGGTATTTTAAAATGTATGTTTACCCACATTGGGCTGGCATGGGCTGGTTTCAGGGGTCAATGGGGCGGCATATATGACCAGACTGGAGGACTTGTTGACATCATGATCAGGCACACAGAAAATAATTGTCTTGTCAGTCCAGTCGACTAGTTCAATCAGATTCTGACTGTGTATGAGTGACCTGAAAGGATATTCTTTGAACTTCGCTGTACATAGAGTCGGAGTCGTGTTTGGACTTCTAATTGTATCAGTATACAGTATGCTATAAGACTTTCCCTATAGGCATCCAATGGACGTGCTTGGCTTTTGAGACGGCCACTCCTCTAGACCCCTCGCGGGCGTGCGTGTCGCGTGTCGCGAGCTTAGTTCCCAGCGTTTCGGCCAAGCCAGCTGGGGCAGGCATGTTGGGATTCTCCACAATATGTGGCAAAAGACATTACAATGCATATAGAAATCCCGTGTCATCATCACGGTGTTTTGATCAATGGCTCTTAGCCAACCAAGCTTGATCAATCACGTTTCGGACGGCGACCCCGACCGATGTTAGGGAAACCAAGGAATCAGCTGGGTGCCATGGGAAACCAACTCTTCAGTCGTGCGGACTCGTTGCCATGATCACAACATGGGTTTCCTCATTTGCAGTCTCCGTCTCCTGACTCTTCCCCTTATATAGTTCTTTTTGTCGGGATCCCACGAATTAGACCGACAAGTTAAACTGGATGACTTGAAGACTGTGCCGCTGACTCCGTTTCTGCCTGCCTTTTTAACGAGTGTCGCCTTGCCTTTGCGGACTCAGCCTTTGTTGGAAGGTCAGTGGTTTGGTACATTGGCTGGCGGGAAGAGTGGAGGATTTGCTGGCAACGGTTCGGAGCTGAACAGCTCCAAGCAAAACAGTTCCAGAATGATCTAGTATATATTCAGTACTCCTGGGAGCTGCTTGAGCTACAGCTGGGACATGCTGGGACGTCCCTAGCCTCCATGTGACTCTTTTGGGGGACCACAACTACCACCGCGGATCCCAGCTGCCTGAGTTTCACCCGAGGAGGTCTTCACGGATCGTCGATCGTCCTTTGTGACGAACCACCGACGGGTTCAGGTTCAGCAGGGTGTGAGTCGATCGTCGGGTTATTGAGACGGTACCGAGGTACTGTGAACGAGTAGCGATGCCAGGAGCCCCCTATAGTAGCGTCCGATCGCGTCCGTAGGTACTGGGAATCGATCATCCAACTTCGATGGATTTCGACTTGCTTCACTGCCCATGACCTTCACCTTCGGCTCCAGAGCCTTCGCTCCGCCCGGCGCAATACCCCGTCCCAGTCGGAGACGATCCCCCCATCGCGCTCGCTGTGAGATCGAGCGGAGCAAAAAGACCCGGGGTGACCGGCCGTCCGATGGTTCGAGTCGAACTGCGAGCGGTTGGAACGGGCGTTTCGGTGGATTCTGTTTGTTCGTTGGTTGGAGAAGGATTGGACACCAAGAAAGCGAAGTGGACAAGAGGGCAGACCTTGACGTCAAGCGAGGGCGTTGCTGGGATGGTGAGATATGTTGGGATGGTGGGATGGGGGTTGCCCACAAAACATCACCATATATATGTTTCAAGGATTCAAGGCTTTCAAATGCTTTCAGAGAAACCTTCAAGGCTCTGCCTGCGAGCTCTCAAACCCTTCTTTTGTTCTACTGATCTCTTTGGGAGGCAGGCAAGATCAGATCGTTCGTGGACCAACAAATATCAAGGGGTTTTCATTGCACTGCAGATGGTGCTCCGACCAAGGGGTGTTGTTCAGGGAGAAAAAAGCCGGTTATCCCAGACACTCCGACACACCGGGTCCCGGCCTTGAAATACCCAGGGTTTGAGGGACCAAGGACTGTTTCAACCTTCTCGGATGATAGTTTATGATACCCAGACACTCCATGGGACTGCCATATATGCCTACATTGACCCCTCAAACCACCCCAATGTAGGTAAATATACCATACATGGAGTGTCTGGGATAGTTTATGTACATAACCTGTAATTAGCTGCCCAAGTTGCAGCATTGGCTCTCGCAAATGGACGACATTTTTTCAGTGGATTGAGATGGCACAATCACCAAGTGGTGTATATGGATCCCCATCTAAAAGACATCGACTGGGGTTCGTGCCATCTGAAACCACTGTAGATCCACGTGCCCGATCCGGGCAGCAGAACCGTCGTCTCTTCCCGATCCGGGTCGCAGGCAGCTGCCCTTGAATCGATGGATTTCATCAGCGTTGGCACAAAAAGGAAAACACATAGTGGTGGAGATATTAGAACATGAATGGAGGCTGAAACACACGGGCCTGACAGACTTCGAAAGAATTAGCTGGCAAACAAGACTGTTGACGAATCTGTAGCAGAATGACCCATCACAAGATATCACAAGTATGTTTGCAACAATCTATAAAGAAGACTTCACGCTTCTTCTCAGAGACCTGCAGAGACCTACGACGTACGCTTCACCCCGTCATTTCTTGCCGCGGGTCTCGCAGTCCAGTCGCCGCGGTCGCTCGGTTCCATCGCTGCAGTTTCCATCGACACGCCATGCCGGTGTGGAGAGATCAGAGTCGCTTCAATGCGGAAGGTGCAGATGCATTCCCTGCCTGGTCGGTCCTGCCGAATATTTTTGTTTGTTCTGTTCGAACGGGTGGAAAGAAAAACCGCCACAGCACCTGTGACAAAAGTGGCAGATGGAGAGTTTGGTGAGTTTGGTGGAGAGAAGGAGGTGTACTGCGTGCTTTCTGTGTTTTTGAAGATCGACATCATGAAGAAAGCATGAACTCTAGGGCTCTAGGGCTCCAAGTACTCGTACCTTGTGATCAGGTCTTTGGGGTTGGTTTGGAGGGTCCAAATACCTTCTGCATATACTTGGAGCCCAGGAGGTGTTTTCTTCCGTGTTCCGTGTTCACCCAGCTTTCCGTATTTTGGACTTTGCCCCCGAGACATGCTTCATGCTTTTGGGGAACCTTCGGTGGGTGTGCAGCCCAGAAGAAGTCCAGGTCAGCTCCAAGAGCATGTCCGAAGCGGCAGGGCCAGGAGAGGACCATCAACAAATCTCGTGCTGCGAAGATGCAATCCCAGACACTCCATGGAGCTTGTCTCAGGAGCTCTGGAAGAGACCTTCTCAATCGCAACTATAACTGATTTTGCAACCATCTACATGACATTTGAGGTCATGACTGCTTTGTCATGCTTTGTCCATGGCAAATTTGGACAGGCTAATCGAACCTTGGATGTGGACGATGAAGTAGCCTACGCACTTGTTCGAGGAGGAACGCAATCCTACATTCCTGACCACTTCAGGTGGACCCTGCCTGGACTGGCTAACGGCAGGTTGCACTTTCTGGCTGCTCAAACCACAGGGAGTTGACACAGACTTGCTTTTGTGTAAAATTGGGAGGGCTGCACTGCCGGGCGCCGTGGCCAACCACCCAATCGGCCTCGTCAAGATTGTTCCACAAGCAGGTTCTGTCGCCAACTGGGCAGTCAGTGCGGCTCACCCTCAACAAGATGCCAATGGTGACATGGATCACGGCGGAAGCTTGGTCAGCAACGCTGCTTGCAGCCTGCAGCTTGATGCTCAGCTGAAGTCCAAAACAGCTGGGCCTCCGATCCGGTGGGCCCAGGCGGCCAACGCTGGTGAGTGGAGCCGGACACGCGGCCTGCCGCAGCTTGCTGCAAGGCCCGTTGCGTCTCGGTCTGATCAGCTCGGTGCCTGCCGCGGCCGTCACAGACGGAGCTCCCACTAGGCTCCCAGATGCCTGAAGACAAGCGTGAAACCCGCGCGGGGGTCGCAAGTCGAGAAGCCTCTCAAAAGCAATCCTTGTGACTTGAGTTTAGGTACATTGGGGTGGTTGAAAAAAGGAGTCAATGTAAGTAAAATAATCTGCAGTCCCGGGAGTGCCATATATGCCTACATTGGGGTGGTTTGAGGGGTCAATGTAGGTATACATGGCAGTCCCATGGAGTGTTTGGGTAACGTCCCCTCAAAAATGTATCATGAGATCCACAACGTGTGTAGGATGCCAGCGGCAGCCGCGGCATGTGTTTTATTGGTGTTTTTTGTTGTTGGCGGGTCTCCAGCATCCCATCGAAGGGAGATGAGGGAAGACGGCAACTACGAGACCTCGTTTCCGAGGTCAGTTTGACCTCAGAAAAAAGACTGGTGGGTGCTTGGAGTTGATCGTGTAAAAACATCAACTCACTCAAGCCCTAGGGTCGCACCTTCTCAGGTTAGGTACTGATTTGGACCCTCCAAACCTACATGAGAGTGTCGAACACATCACCTTCTGAGAAGGTACTTGGATCCCTAGCGAAAGAAGTTTTCCGGAGGTTGAGACCTGGGTCAGACTGGACCCCTACTAGGGGGTTTCTTGAAGCCGTTTATAGACCAGATGTCAGAGTTCAAACAGCACCAAGAGGATGTAGCTTCACTGATCTTCACTGGATAGACCTGGAGTGTAAAAAGAACTCTTTCCTTTTTCCGTTTCACCCTTCTCTCCGAGACGACTTCAGCTCTCCGTCAGGTTTTTATGGAGAGCTGCAGTGGCGCCTGCGTCAACAGCAGGAGGTTCGTCGGAGTGGTGCGGACTGGTCTTTGGCTTCTGCGTGCATCAGACAGATCCCATGGATGAACAGATGAGCTCCGTGTTTTTTCTTCTTCGGGATTGGTTGGCGCCTTGACAAGCTTGAAAATGAAGGTCACCAAGTCAATGAACGATGTATATAGTCGTTCGAAAAGCTCCAAACATGGTGTTACAGCATCCGCCCATAGCGTGTTTGTTATACAAGCAATAACTGGCAGTTCACATCATGTGCTTTGTTGATGTTGCAGTTCAGCCTCTCTTTTTGCATGCCCAAACCTTCAAGAACCTATATAACTGGTTTTTTAACACCTGTTGATTCCAAGAGCTGGCCCTTTCAACCGGTGGATTCCGTTCTCTCCTTCGACCCCACCGACCCCACTCCTCGCCCCGCACTGAGTTCGTCCGGCACCACCGGCACCGCCGAACCGACCGACCCGACCACAGGTGTTGGGAGAGCTTCAACAGCGCTCAGAGGACGGGGTACCGGTCGATCGCCCCAGGTAACGAAGCACGTCAACCGCTCCGCCCCCCGCGGTTCGGTCGCTTCGGTCGCCGAGCCGTCGCCAGTGCGGAGTGGGTCTTTACGTCGCTTCGTCGCTCGAAGCGAATGACGGACGGCATGGTTGTTCGCCTGAGCCCGGTTGCGGTCGGGCCGCGACTGGTGTTCTTTTCAGGAAAGGCTTTGGGCAGTGCGACTGAGCAGGCACGGCGGCGAGACTGGAGGCGATATGTGGGTTTGATGGCTGCAATATATATACTCATTCATGGGGTACAGACGAAGTCGACGAAGTCCAAAGGCTCTGACAAAGATCTTCAGGACTCCAACTACCTCAGGAGAGACCTATGGAGCCTATGGAGGATGAAGTGGGATCAGCCCCACAATCTCATGAGGGAGGAGCGAACTTTATAGGGTGTGCGTTCCTCTATTATTGTTCCACCTGCCGCCTCATGTCAGGGTCATGTAGCCAACAAACTGCAGGGCTTGAGACCAGGATTCCTCAGCTTCACTGTCTGTTGCTTCCTCACCGCAAGTAGAGGAACTGATATACCAGGCTGCGAGTCTCATCCAGTCCCACGATCGCAACTATATTTGGCTCACTTGACTTTTACCAGGAGTGACAAAAGGGGTGCCGAACTTGGAGGATAGGAGTATACGCACTAACCACGGCCCCTGGATGGGACTATGTGACTCCTGGTATCCCCTGGCTGCCAGAGCTCAAGTGGTGGGTCTCAATGTGATGCTAGGATTTCTGTGGCCCACCTGTGTCTCCGACCGCGAGCGCCCTGTTGGCCGCGCGTCTTGTCCAGCAGCGCATCTTCTCCGGAGGCCTGGAGCCACGACCAGTCCGACGGATGCGAAGTCCAAGGGCGACGAGCGCTGAGCGACCGAGCGAAGGGGCGACCGGGTCGCGCGCGTGGTCGGTCGCGCGGGGGTCGCGGGTCGCTGGACATCGTCGCCGCGCACCATGCGGTGCTAATTCAGATTCGATTTGGACAACAAGTTTCAGCCAGAACTAGCGACTTGGAGCCAGAACTGAGTTCGTCCTCAATGGTTTGATGTGGGAATGCAGTGGTTGTCGGACAATTCGAGGAGTTGATACAGGAAAATGAATTGTGTAACAACTGCAACACATATCATCCATGTTGTAAGGCCTGGTGTGTGCAATTTGTTCCAGGAGACCATTCGTTGTCCATGTCTATAATTAGTAATTCATTCAGGGTCAAGGCAATCATCAAATCCAGTAAGCAGCCACAGAAAAGGAAGCTAAGCAAATTATAGCAAATGGTAATGACACCTTTGTCTTATTTTCTGGAGTACCTGACTACCAAGGGGTTGGTATCCTGTTTCGACCATTGCACATCCTGAACAAGTTTCTTTCTAGTCGTCCAGTGAGCCTTGCCACAAGATTTCTGGATGTTGTGTTTGTTACATTGGATACTGGATATGGTTCCTTGACCTCCCCTGCATGTCACAGCGTGCATCAGCTCGCAGCGTTGACAAACTTTGGCATCAGAAGCGCAGTGTCTCAAAGTGACCAGGGGGCTTGTAGTCTGAGGGTTGCAAGCAGTCCTTATTCCGATCTGAGATACAATTTGTTTGTGCAGACCTCCCTAAGATAAGCCCCAAGCAATTGTTTCTTTGGGTCCCCCCCTTGATACATGGACATACCCCCCCTAAGCGGACGTGAAAGCGATGGTTCACTCGCTTGCACATGAGTCGTTTGGACTCGTTCCACAACGGAAAAAAAAACGCTGTGCACCCGTTGTCCTCATGATCGGGTAGACCTAAATGCCTGGACCCGACTGACCCAGTACCCTAGAAAATGGAACATGACTCAATCAAAACAGGTACTGGTACCCATTTTCTGAGGTACAGAATGCAGGTATACCAATCCCTGGGTCTCCAGTCCCTTTTTTGTTGTTACGGTGTCTTGATGGAAGACCCGTAAAGAGACATCCTTTACTTTTGGTGGTGCGAAATATAGTTGAACTGAACTTCTATAGGGTGATTAAAATCAAGTATACAAGTTTTGGTGCACTTGGGTTGTTTTGGTTGGACTCAACTCCAGCAGTCTTGGAACATGTTGGAATGTCCTTGCATTCTGAACATGAACTTGGTGTTCTTTGTGGACTCAGCCGCACTCTGAGTTTGAGAGCTGCTATATGCTTTGTTCATATGTGTTGTATCCCAGACACTCCATTTATGGCAGATGATACCTACATTGAAGTGGTTTCGGGGGTCAATGCAGGCACATATCATACATGGAGTGTCTTGTCACCAGGGGGTATGGCGGGCTTGCCTTGTGGTAGGGGCAGGTCAAAAGCTTCTATTCTCCATTGAGGTGTGTGAGCAACACAATATTTGGTCAAATCAAAGCTTCTCAGTGATGATGAGTTTCTATTGAACCTACAGACTTCTAGAGATACACACAATCCATTCCCAAATGCTCCATGTCCGGAAAATACGACCACCCCATACCACACCACCCTTGCATTGTATGGCTTGGCTCATACGCTCATACGCTCATACGCTCATACCTCACCTGAGCCTGGCTAGAGGCTCACGGACGCTCACCCCACGACTCGTGCGGCCTCCGTCAGCCCTTTCCGCCGCACCCGGCGAGTTGTCACCCTCGCCCGGGCGGAGATCCATCCCATCCCGCGGGACATGTGGAGGTGGGAGCTTTTGGTGGTCGGAGGGGTGGGGCAGAAGGTTGCTGGAAGTCCATCTTTGGTGGCTTCTTCAAGTACAGTTATAAGTTAGTTGTACCATGCTATACCATTGATTACCATAATCATTGATATGTATACTATAGACAGTCAGTCATTGAATAAGATACGGGTTCCTGGCCCACCATGCTTCAAAGTCTGAGCGACCCATGCTACGATTTCCACCCGCTGAACGAACAGGTCCCGCCGGCCGGAACGAACGGGGAAAAAAACAATCCGACGGAGACCGTTTGGACTAGACGATCAATCTACCTGGTGATCCACATATTTGGTGTTTTGTGCTTCCGTTGTTTTGAAAACGGGCATGGCGGGCATGGCAATAGGTTGTTATAAACTTGAAGGTGTTCAACGTTCAACTATGTTTTGTGTTTTTTTTGGTTTAAAGAAGTATTCGAGACTTACTGCATGTACTATTGACTACACTGCACTACAATCTGTCAATTGATGCATGTTTTTAGATTTACCACTTGTACAGTGACTACCCTACAATTTGTCCATGGATGATGCTTGTTTGTTTTTTGCTTGTGCGTGCTTGGTTTTTTGAGAACACTGACATCTATCACTATTCCGGCAACGTGCAAGACAGCTTGGGAAATGCAACATCAGCTAGCAACACTAACATGCACCCAAGGTTCTTTTTGCAAATGCAGAGAAATAGTGCTTAGGGAGAATCGATGAACCATATCAGCTGGTTGCCATCATCGGCACCCCGGGACCGGGGCGTGCCGCAACGGCCGGGTCCCGCGAGGCGGCCTTGACGGAGCGGAACAAGGCGTTTCTCGGATGTCCGTTTCAGTGGGCTGTTCTTTGGAGCCTTGGACGTACCGTCCCAAAGGGGGGTACCTGGACCCTATCCACACTCCATGGGACTGGCATATGAATCCATACATTGGGCTGGTTGAAAAGGGGTCTGTTTGGGGCGGCAGTCCGGCAGTCCAGTCCCATGGAGTGGGGTATGGGTGTGCATTGAATTAGGGAGACCTCCCCTGAAAGGTTCGGGAACCTCCGGTCCATGCAATCATTCAGGTCTGGGGACTGCCAGTCCGGACTGCCGAGAGTTCCGGCCAGGGGTGGTTGAAAGGGGGTCTGTCTGGGGCAGCAGTCCTATGGCAGTCCCATGGAGTGGCTGTATATCACAATTTATGTTCAACTGCTTACTTAGGGATGATGGATCTCACTGACTATAACATTAGTTCTGAGACCACCAAACAGCTATGTTCTCCCTGGCCCCCGCACGCCACTGTTGTTTTTTCCGTTCCCATGCATTCTGATTCGTGCTCTATGTCAACTGAGAGGTGTCGTACAACGTCTCAAGTCCTGGTGTTTTATTGCTTCGAGTTATATATATGTTTATATTCCCTAGGGGTGAATACTTCTTATTTTTGTCCCAGTTCTTTAAGCCAAATTAAAGAACTTCATGTTGGACCTTTACCAGTTTTTTAGGAGTTGGCACTCGAGCTACTGGCGATGAACACCCTTTGCCCACAAACACCGCTGAGCTAGGGGTTCCGTATAAGTCTTGGACAGACAAATCGGGGTGGTTGTGGAGATTGTATCTTATTGCGCTCCTCTTGGCGGAAGAAAGACGTCTGACGCCAGATGGACGCTGATCACCACAGTCCCATGTAGTGTTTGGCATAGATGCTGCGGAATTTCGATATGTCTTACTTCCATGGGTGGTTCTAGTGCTCAACTTCCAGGAGTCACGAACAAGGGGTAGTGTTTCGTCCCATCCGGGGCTGTGGAGAGTGCGACCCCGACAACCTCCTCCAAGCACCCTGACCTGTGAAGCTGAGCGACCCGCTGCTCCACAGACAGCGGTTGGTTTGGCCCGGCCTGATGCGCGCCTCGCAATCCGCGGCGGCGCTGATCTTGGGCGGCAGCAAGTCAGACCTGTCCGGGTCCTCAACGAAGGAACGGGGTCGAGCGGCGATCATCACTGCAAACGTGCGCGTCTTTATACGTTGGCTTGTTCCGGCCCCCGGCCCTGCTGATTCATTTGGATGGGTTCGAGGAGTTGCTATGTTACACCGGGAGTGACCCCCCTACACTTGGTCATTTTAGGCGATGCCCATTCGGGATCCAGTCGTACATTGACACAAGGTGATTATGACATACTGTTCCCTATAGGGCTCCAGTCGTACCTCCTCAGAAGGTATGACTGGACCCTCTAAACCCACCCCAGTCCCACCTTCTTAGAAGGTACGACTGGAGCCCTAGGGGTAATCTAGGTTTGGAGTTTGGAGGGTCCAAATCAGTACCTGGATCCCTTGAGACGACTGGATCCCTCGAGAAGGTACGGGTCGTGACATCGGTCGTCGTACCTGTGAGGTCGCCTTTTGCGCGACGGGCTGTTTTTGACCCTGAGATGGTGGTCGCCGGACGGTCTTCCCTTGTTGCAGGACGGTGACCCACCATGTTCGTGTCCAAACCGACCAACATCCATGCGTTGGCCGCCACGCTCATCACGAAAGGTAGCCCTTTAGGGGATACCTTGAGTTTGTCTTGCGAAGCAAGTGTTGGGACGTCCGGGTCTAATAATTGATCGCTCAATTCAGACCCCCCCCCTGAAAAGTAGAGCCTACCTGTACAGGGTTCCACTCCAACAGCTGATATAGTGTGTCCATGCTTGACTGCTTCAAGGCTTAAAGAGCAAGAGGATAAGACTCTGCGCATAAAAGACACTAGCGGTCTGCACCTCTACCGTGTACGCCCTAGTCACTCTTTCAGTGGTAGCGGAGCAGTGATCCTGGAAGACCCAGGTGAGCTCCTTTCCTAGGCATAGACTTGCTAGTGGGCAAACGGCCATGGATTGGATTGACGACTGGGAAGAGCCTGATGCGGATGTGGCTTATGAGCCAGCAGCCTACGTGAATAGGCATGTGAGAAGAGAACCAGCAGCAATAGCAATGACAACACAGGTCACTACAAAGGTGCCCCCATCTTATGATGGAAAGACTTCATGGTTTTCCTATGAGGATGCCATAGACGATTGGTGTGATATCACCGAGCTGGAAGATGAGAAAAGAGGACCAGCATTGAGAAACAGATTAGAAGGAGAAGCAGCTGTATACAAGCGTGTTTTAGACAGAGATGCATTGAAGGCAAATGATCCACCAGGAGCCGGCGTAGAATATTTCAAACGAGTCCT